TTCACTACGTGGTGTTGTAGCATCATCGGGACACCACGTGGTTTGGTGTCACAGGACCTCACTGGTGTGGTCCCAGGCCTCCCTATCGTGGACGGATTGACACATAGCTGGTGTTGTTGAGTCTCAGGGGCAGTTATCACTGGGTACCTGGGACCTCACTGTGTGAAGGTTAGCTTGGGTAAGACTCAGCTGTTACTGTCGAGTTGCTTTTCACTGACTTAAGCACTGTTCACCACTATTCAACACTGGTTCCATTCCTTTCCTAAATGAAATAGTAACTTCTGGCGAGAACCTGTTGATATTCCGGTGGGGAGGAGGGGTTCAGGGGAGGGAGTTGGTATGGGCCAACATAGCAGTTGACCTGGCTGCTGCCAGAGCAGCACCAGGTACGTCTTGACCCTTCGGTGGTCAAGGATGTAGTGTGTGTGTGTGTAAAGGATACATTAAGTGTCTTTTATACACTTTGAAATTCTCCGCTCACACACACACACACACACCTTCTTGGCGTCTTCTGTTCATAAATACCTGCACTATGTCTCTCCTACACACAAAAACATCAATTATTAACGTCTCTTGTAAGGGGGACAAAAACGACCTCGTAATCAGGAGTTTTGAGTAATTCTCGGTAGTGTTCTTCGTCGGGTACTTCATCAGGAGCCTCTGGGAATTTGGTTTCCTAGTCAAGCAATTTAAAAGAAATCCTCGTGAACTTCGACCGTTTAGAGCAGTGGTTCTCAGAGACCCAGGTCACATTCCTCCCCTTGCGATCCCAGATTTCCTCAATTCCTCCCCCATTTTGAATTGTCATCTAGTAATATTTTCACCATTATACTTTTACAGTGGTAATTATTGAAACAATTTATGAAACTAAATTGCTTTATTAATTGCCATCAAATGAAATAATAAATCCTTATTTCAATGGGTCATAAAACTTCCATTTGATTTAATGCCCAATTTGGCCTGCGTGCAGAGAAACTAAACTAGAAAACCGAGGAACAAATCCAGTAAGTTTTGCTCGAAGGTAAGTTTTGCTTGAAGGTCACCACGCTCACAAATGTTGAGACGTCCTCGTTTTTTTAGTCAACATATCCGTAACAGCACTAAAGGCACATTCAACCAAGTATGTTGTTGGGAAGGGCAAAAGCACTTGCTGAGCCTCTGTAGCTAATTTTTTATATTTGGCAACAACTTGGGGATCCAGCCACTTGAAGTGTTGTTTTGATGCATGGATCGGTTTCATACTGTCATCATTTTACATGTCCATTAGCTCGTCGATCTGATCAGACTCCATTCTAGCCAGGCAGTCATTGTTTTCCCAGTTAAAGAGAAATGGCTGAGCAATCCAAGAAGGGAAGTTCATCTGCTTCAGATCAATGAATCTGTCGCTCAGGTCATCATGGAGGTTGGAGAGGTGTTCTGAGATTATTTGTAAGACATTTTGTGATGGATCACATTTACTGAGATGTGGGAAGTGAGAGAGGTTATTTCTCAAGACCTGGGCCTTCAAAAAACCCAGTTTACTGATAAAACCAAACATTTTGGTTTTGCAATCCATGAGAGTCTTCTGTTCACCTTGCAGTTCCTTATTTAATGCATTTAATTTACCAAAAATATCAGCAAGATATGAAATGAAGGCCTTGGCTTCATTGGATTTCATGAACTGGAAGCCCTCACGATCTTTACCAAAGTCCAACAAAGTATCATACAAACCTTTCCAGACAGTTGCCTTTTGATAGCCATCGTACATGGGTATGGAGGAGCAGTCTCACAGTTTTCATTCATGTCCTTACAGAATTCTTTGAACAGTCTTTCAGTCTTTCGATGTGCTTTTATCAGATTTACCACTTTTATTACCTTCTTCATTGATTCATCCAACATAGGACTAAGCCTAGCAGCCGCCAAACTCTCTGTGAATAATACAGTGAACAGTCATCATATGAGGATTATCATCTTTCAGAAGTTTCAGTACTCCCTTATGTCGTCCCATCATTGTTGGTGCACCATCCGCAGCAGTGGACACAATGTTACTCATTGGAATATCGTTGTCTGTCAGGTACTTCCTAACCACGTTATACATATCTTGAACAGTGGTGGTGGTTTTCAAAGAGTCGCAAAATAGCATCTCTTCCATGAATTTTGAGTTGCGCTGGAACCTTGCATAGGCCGCCAGTTGTTGGCAACATGTTATAGTCACAGTTATCAAATGCCTCCCGAGCATCATATTAACATGAGCAAGCTTTTCAAACCTCAATAATTGAATAGTCCCAAACAGGACTGAAGCATCATTTTTTTGTAAACTGTTAATTCGTGATCGCCCTTATAGTTGTGTATATTGGTATTTAATTTGATATATATACACAATGTACAAAGTACTCCCCGTTTGGAGTTCCTACCCTGACTGAAATTCCTCCCCAATTCTTCCCCTGGCTAAAATTCCTCCCCCTGGGTTTAAAATTCCTCCCGTGGGAGCCAAGTGCCTCCTGTTTGAGAATCACTGGTTTAGAGTCTCCTGAAGTCGTTTGTCAACCTGCCAACCACAGAGGAGCAACCATTAAGTGGCTTTGTTGAGACGTAGAATTCAATTGTCTGAAAGTTGCCACATTTAGTTTCTTTTGTTTTTACCTCAATCGCTTTGATCTTTACAGTAAGGGGATCAATCATTGTTTTCCACCCCTCCCCCCTACAATAATAAATACACCACACCACCACAAGCTCACCACCACTTCTTCCCCGAGAAGTCCGTCAGATCTCACCCAGCTGACTTGCCCTGGATCACACCTCGGATCAAAAGACTTATGCAACAGAGAGACAGAGCCTTTCATCTCAATGACCACATCCGCTACAGGTCCCTTCGCAACCGAGTCATCCGCGAAATACGCACTGCAAAGAAGTCCCACTACCCAACCAAATTACAACACCTGAAGCAGACCAACATCAGTCCAATGGTATGGTAAGCTTAAAGAACTCTGTGGACTAAACAATAAGACACACCCCTCCCCTTCCTTAGCCATCTCACTAATGTTGACGCAGCTGAGCAAACAAATAACCATTTCGCTACTATATGCCAGACGCTCCCCCGGCTTGACACAACCACTCTCCCTGCTTACCTACCAGCCCCCCTTCCCACTGACTTAGTAGAAGAATTTGAAGTAGCAAAACGCCTGGACAAACTAAAATTAAAACGCTCTACCACCCCCATTGACTTACCAATGAAACTCTTCAAGGAGTTCTCCCCGGAGCTTGCTAAACCCCTATGCTCCATCATCAATGCTTCTCTCAGTCAAGCCAGATGCCCAGCTGACTGGAAGACCTCTTATGTATCACCAGTGCCAAGTCAACCAGCCCACAATCCTTAAATCAGCTACGACCTATTGCAATCACCCCAATACCCAGCCTAATCTGTGAAAGTTTTGTGTTCGACTGGCTTATGCTGATATTGCAGGAGTCGTAGACCCTCAGCAATTTGGCAATATGAAAACTTCCTCCACCACTCACTGTCTCGTCAGCTTTCTCGATTACATATACCGCCATCTCGAGAAACGAAAAACGTCTGTAGCTGTCGCCTTCATTGATTTCACTAAAGCATTCGACCTAGTCGACCACAATATAATCATCAACAAAGCTATACCTCGGGCTTCGGAGAAGTCTTATACCATGGCTTACAGACTTCCTCAGTGACCGACGCCAAGCTGTACGCTTCCGAGGGGCTGTCTCCACCTTTCAGTCACTCACCTGTGGCGTCCCCCAAGGCACCAAGATGGGACCACTCTGCTTCCTTATGCTCATCAATGATGCCCTAAGAGAAACCCCTGCTCGCTGGAAATATGTCGACGACTCCACCATTGGGATCAGCGTCAACAATTCTGCTCCCGACTATACCGCCCTTCAGGATTTATTGAACAGTCTCCAAAACTGGGCCACCAACAACCATGTCACCATCAACCATACCAAGACCATGGTTATGCACATCAACCTCTCCTCCGACATTGTCCCACCTCCTTCCATTACTTTAGGTCCGAACACACTCCAGGTTGTAGATTCCACGAAGCTCCTCGGCGTCACCATAGACAACAAACTAAATTGGAAACCACACGTCAGTGAAGTTGTCAAATCCTCCAGTTTCCGTCTCCACCTCCTCCGCCGACTCAAGTCCCTCGGAGTTCCTGCACACGAGCTCCTCAGTGTTTACACAACATTCATACTTCCCAAGCTCACCTATGCCTCCCCCACCTGGTCTTCCTCCCTAAATTCCACACAACGTAAACACCTAGAAAAAGTGCAAAAGGGGGCATGCAAGATTATTCTCTCCCCTTCCTACTCCACATATCAAGAAGCGCTCAACACACTGACCCTTTCGACTCTCACTGACCATCACCGACCTCATCTGCAATTTGGTAGGCTTCTACCATCCTCGACACCGGCTCCTACTACGGATCTAGCCGAGAATTGCTGTTCGACACCACAACCGCATCCAGCCCATACGTGCACGAACTGATCGCTATAAGAACAGCCCAGTCCCAACCATTGTAAAAATTATCAATAACTTGAAATAAACCAGTGTATTCATTCCCAGTAAACACTACTCCTTGCACTGTCACTATGTTGAAATGCACTGTAGTTTGAGCTTTTCCCCGTCTAGTTATTATATATCTTATTTGTATCACTTATGTTATTTGTAATTCGAAACCCATTCCCCAAATATGTAACTGTATATTTTCAGCCTTCTGGCTGCCAAGCTCTTTCAATAAACCGTTAATTATTATCACACACACACACACACACACACACACACACACACACACACACACACACACACACACACACACACACACACACACACACACACACACACACACACACACACACACACACACACCACACACACACACACACACACACACACACACACACACACACACCTGCTCGCTGGAAATATATCGACGACTCCACCATAAGGATCAGTGTCAACAACTCGCCTCCCGACTAAAGCGCCCTCCAGGATTTATTAGTCTCCAAAATTGGGCCACCAACAACCACGTCACCATCAGCCATACCAAGACCATAGTTATGCACATCAACCTCTCCTCTGACCTTGTCCCACCCCCCTCCATTAATTTAGGCCCCAACACACTCCAGGTTGTAGACTCCACTAAGCTCCTCGGCGTCACTGTAGATAACAAACTAAATTGGAAAACACCCGTCAGTGAAGTTGTCAAATTCTCCCTTGCAGTTTCCATCTCCACCTCCTCCGCCGACTCAAGTCCCTCGGAGTTCCTGCACCCGAGCTCCTCAGTGTTTACTTAACATTCATACTTCCCAAGCTCACCTATGCCTCCCCTGCCTGGTCTTCCTCCCTAAATGCCACACATCGTAAACGCCTAGAAAAAGTGCAAAGGAGAGCATGCAAGATTATTCTCTCCCTAACTTAGTCCACACATCAAGAGGCGCTCAACACACTGGCCCTCTTGGCTCTCTCTGACCAGCACCACGACCTCATCTGCAAAATTGGTGAGAAGCTTCTGCACCATCCTCGACACCGGCTCCTACTACCACCCGGGATCCTTCGTCCAGCCCAGACGAGCACGTACTGATCGCTATAAGAACAGCCCAGTCCCAACCAATGTAAAAATTATCAACAACTCGTAATCAACCAGTGTGTTCACTCCTAATCAATCTTACCTTTTTGCACTGTCACTATGTTGAAATGCCCTGTAGTGTGACCTTCTCCCCACCTAGTTATTATATATGATATTTGTATCACTTATGTTACTTGTACATTATTTCTCAATCAAGTGCCCTATTCCCCAATGAATAGTATACATCAGGTGCCTAAAAGAGAGCTCAGGTTCTCAACTGGCTTAGCCATGTTAATATTGTTATTATTATTCACTCTGTATCTGTGTTTTTATGGCTAAATAAACGGTTTCAATTCAATCATGCAACTGTTATTTTCAGCCTTCAGGCTGCCATGCTCTTTCAATAAACCGTTAATTATTAGTATTTTTACACACACACACACACACACACTAAACACTTTTACAGTATTATATACAAAGACACACTTCACGAGGTGCTACTATAGCGTGCATACTACACATTATTTAGGTTAGGTTAGGTTAAAGATATCTGTAGACCTTACGCTACAGTAGCACCCTTCACGATTTGTACACACACATATACACACTATTAACACCTATTGTAAACACACAGGCTAAAAAGTAATATTGCTCGAATTTTATTTTCATAAGTCACATTTTGGAGCAATATGCGTGTTATATGTTGCACCACTTAGTGAGTAAATTTTTCCTCTTGGAATTTATTTAGCGACGACTGTTTAAATTCCTCAGAACATTTCGTTCTGGATGTTTTCAAATTACTAGTCTTATTTAATCAAGTTTATTCTAATTTAACGGATAGCAATATATGCTTATCCAACGTAAACCTAGCCTAGTATAGTACAATTTCCGACACCTACGTAGCCTAATCAAACCTAACCTATGCAACCCAAAGCTAACTGAACAAAAAGGAACCATTGTGCCCAAAATTTACACACTGTTTATTTTGAGCTTAAATTTAGTAATGGAGGCTCACCTCCTCACTGCAGTCCTACGATATCCACCTTTCTCCTACAGACTGCTAGATGCTTAACTGAGTTGCACAGGAAAGGGCCATGAATCTTTAATGAAGTTCTGTTGAGGCTTCAGCCAGCGTTGCGTTGTAGCTACGTTGATTCTTCTTAATTTTAAC